CCGAGCAACTAAACCTCCTGCAGTCAGCACAGTCCTTGGCTACCACACAGAAGACTCGGCAATGCACGAAGGATCTCCTCCTATGCCTCTCTCCACAGGGCACCACGGCAGCATCCTCTGCCTCTCCAGGCCCAGCTAAAAGAGCAAAATCCACAGCAGATGATGTAATGTTTAACCCCACCATAAAGGGAGCCTCAGCTCACCAGAAGCCAATGTCACCATCTACCTTGAGGAAGTTCCTGGGCCAAGCAAGCCCCTGCTTGGGCTGTAGCTGGAGAACCCACCCATTGTTCCAGCATTGCCAGCGGCACTTGGATGGGTCCATGGAGCAGCCTCGGGACAAGGGGTGACTCCTTGTCAGCTCCTCCAGCAGCATGTGCCAGGGCACACCAGGCATAAGCCCTTGGAGGGTGGAAGCTTACCTAAAGGGCTCCAAAGCTCTGGAATAGTCCTACACATTGGCTGCTATTTGTGGAGAACATGCAAGATAAAGAATTGTGGTTTAGAAGACATATGTCCCAAGTGTGTGACTTCAGTTTCACAGCACTGGAACTGGATATAATTAAATCCTGGTTTTCAACAGCCTCTTCAAAACAAATGTCTTTGTGATGCAGAAAACTCTGAAAGCATGAAGAGCCTTTTGTTTAACCTCAGAAATCTATTTTTACTCTAGAGTCATAACTCTTCCTGGCTGGAAGTTTCTCTTCCTCCTCACATGGGTGAGGGCAATGGAAAGATGAACGGGAAACAAAGAAGTAGGAAGATGCGAGAGCCAGGGGCTCTCACATGAGCTGTAGAGGATAAAGAGGGAGACAAAGAACATGTAACAGATTCCCTGTATCCTGCAAACCAGAAGAAATCAAATCCTCACCCTGCAAAGGTCTGATGGGAAGTACAGGACTTACCCACCCCCAAAGGACGCCAGTTTTAATCACACTCTCAGGACTTCACCCCAGGACGACACAAAATCCCAAATGCAGCACCAAAACCACCTACGACAATACCCAGGAAACTGCAAAACCTTACTTCATTCTTGTTTGGTTTCACCGTTCCTCTTTGCTTTCCACCTGGCGCAGGCAGCTCCCAGTGCTGCTGCCTCTGGCTGTGCTGCGAAGAGCAACGTGCTGCAGGGCATAGCAGCCCCGAGGCTGGCTGAGGGTGCCAGGACCTGCAGGCAGCCAGGGAGGAGCAATGGCTCCTCAAGAAGCTCCACCACAGCTGAGCACCAGCAGGTGCTGGGCTCTGCAAGGCCCCACCAGCCCCGGGCCCTCTATAGGCCCCATAACATCACCTGAAACCATTTACCACCGGCTCTGCCTGTCCTAAACACCAGCACCGGGGCTGACAGAGGCATTTGAATGGGACCTGCGCAGTGTCTGGCCTGCTGATGTTAAAGCTACTGTTGCAGTGTCATAGAATCAGGCTGGTTTGGGTTGAAGGGACATTAAAGCTCATCCAGCTCCAACCCCCTGCCACGGGCAGGGACACCTTCCACTAGAGCAGGTTGCTCCAAGCCCCTGTGTCCAACCTGGCCTTGAACACTGCCAGGGATGGGGCAGCCACAGCTTCTCTGGGCACCCTGTGCCAGCGCCTCAGCACCCTCACAGGGAAGAGCTTCTGCCCAAGAGCTCATCTCAATCTCCCCTCTGGCAGGTGACAAGGTTCCCTTGTCCTGTCCCTACAGGCCCTTGTCCAAAGCCCCTCTCCAGGTTTCCTGGAGCCCCTTTAGGCACTGGAGCTGCTCTAAGGTGTCCCCTTAAGGAGCCTTCTCTTCTCCAGGCTGACCCAGCCCAGCTCTCTCAGCCTGGCTCCAGAGCAGAGCTGCTCCAGCCCTCTGATCAGTATGTCTCTCATTGCAGCTTTAACCTCAAAGGTTGATCCAAACCATAAAATCCACACATTTGAAATCAACTTCTGTTCTAAATCTGAGGAATAATTGATACAAAGAAGAAGAAGGAGTACAGTAAATGAAGTTCTGTTTGTGAGATCCTGGGGCTAATGGAAGAATTTTGTCCCAGTTAACATCTTGCTCTTCTGTGATGGGTGACACACGGACTCTGGTACCTCAGTGTGAGGAGAAGGAGTAAAGCCCAAGCTGAGCAATCCAATGCCTTTTCTCTGCATCAGGGTCACGGAGGAATGCACAGACCAGTCAGCCCCTGCAGCAACCCACAGACTTACACTCTTTACAGACAGACTGTAAAATGTTTCCTCCCTGGTGCAGAAAGGAAACCATTAACAACATCAGGTAAAACCTTCTTTCTCACCCACCTCCTGCTATTTCAACTCTGTGTTATGTTAATTCCAGTCAAAAGAACATGCATTGTTCAGGCAGGTCACATAAAGGCCATTTCTAATTTTGAGAATGTACTAATAATCTGAGTTCTTACATATATATAATCATCTGCCCCATGTTTGCTCTAATTCTTTACTAACTCTGCAGCTCTTGCCTTCCTCAAGAATATACCAGCTTGCATAGCTCTTGGGTAGCTGTTCTTGATCCACCTCAACCAGGTCACAGAGAAGCTGAGGGAATAAATAAAAGCTGCTTAACTCACATGGCCATAAAGGCAGAGTCAGGCCTGACCTCTTCTTGTTGAGATCCTTTGTGTATGTGGATATATACTCACATTCCCTGTCTCCGTTACCCAAACAAATGAAGCAAAAGGCACATTACTGAAGATGGGAACTGGCCCTTCTAAGAGCTAGACCAGCTGAAAGAGACTAAAGTTCCAGCCCAAAGCCATTTGGACCCGGTGAAAGCCCACCCTTGCTGGCCAGTGGGTCTTTGGTGGACATGTCTGCTCCAGTTCAATCATGAGAAGAGCAAAGGCTGCAGCGCCAACAGCACCTGCACCGCAGCTCCTCCCAAAACTGACAAGGACCACGCTTCGGGTTGGTAGAAGATTCCTCTTGTCATGTTGGGAACAGAAGAATGGGAAATTGTCTCCCAGAAGCCTTTCTTCTGCTTTGACCAGCTGCACTGAGCATCTATTTGAGCCCTTTTAGAATGCCTACTGCGCACGGTGCTGATGGAGACAGGCTTTTCTTACAACATAGCACTTCCTGATAATCGTATGCAAAGCCTTTCCTAAACTTCCCTCATCAATTACCTGTCTAGAAAATGAAATGCTGGTGTTACAAACTGCCAGATCCTTCATATGATTGACTGTGGCTGGGTTTAGTCAGCAAAAGGTCTCCGAGTAACAAATGGCTTGTCAATTTGTTCTCTGACAAGAAAGACTGTCGAGTATCATTTACGCTCAATCAAATAGTAACGCTGATGGAAAACTCTGGGTGTTGGTGACTCCTGATGTGCCCCACTGGAGTTTGGAGGAATGTATCTCCACTTAACACGGATCCTGCATAATGGATGGGAACAGCTCTCCTACTCGCTGCTGCGGCCGCCTCTTCCTGTGCCAGGGCTGTGGCTGTGAGATCTGCATTAACCAAGATGACAAATCACATAAATGTGTGTTTATCAGTTGGCACTTCCCTGCTCAGTGCCTATGGAACTGTTCACTATGGGAAACAAGGGACGGATGAAAGAAGGTCACTTGTACAAAATGATTTTCATAGGAAAAAAACAAAGAAAAGCTCAATGTGTGCAGACTCCCCGATCTCCCATGTTTTACAGCTGGAACACAGCAGTAATTTTTCCCTGTTAATGGGTCTTTATGATATCAGATACAGAAAGATTTGCACATTATTACCAATAAGTGTCCAAATTAAAGAAGTGACTTGAAGTGGTAGAAATTGGCCTTGGGCTATAGCAAATACAGAACATCTCCCTTCTCACCATACTGGTGGTGTTTACAAGACTTTCAGCTACAGTTCAGTCAAGTATTTTACAATATAATAAAATTGTTGGTTATGGCATAAAAAGCCCCAAGATTTGGTGTCTCCATTTGTTTTGTGTACACACGGCTCAAAATAAGATCAACTGCAGAAAAGAACAGATGATGATTTTATCAGGCAAGGCTGGAGCAGATGACCCGTGAGGTCCCTCCCAAACTGGTGCTCTACAGTTCTATGATTACTGAACTGTACTGTAGCAAACATCCATAGATTGTAGCTATGTTTTTCCTTTAAAACATTTTGCAGAATATTTCTAGCTGGAACAAAGGAAGCTCAAACATTAAAACACTGGAGCTTCTTTGCTGTTTTGGGAGGGAAAAAAAGAAGAAAAGGGCCATGAGGAAGTTCTGATACTAATTTCTAAATTCTAATACTTTGATTATTCTGTGCTTTGCCACATCTGGCCTTCAGCTTTGAACCTCGTCCAGATTCCTGTAGAACTAGAGGAAGCCCATCTCAAAACTCTGGTTGTGCTCTCTTCTAAAGGGGGTGATACAAACCACCAGCTGAACCAGCATTTTCCTCTGCGACACACAGTAACACAAGTGAAGTGATTTTGCTGAAGAAGAGAAGCAACTCCCCTTTCTGTTTATTTGAAATCACAAGTGATTCCTCAGTGGCACACACCCAACCTTTAAAATAAGGAGCAGTAACGGATTCTTTCATCATTTCCATGTTTCCTCTTGGACATTCCTTTGAGAATGATAAAGCATTTATAGGTACCCAAATGGAACCAGACAATCCCAGCCCCTGTAAAGACAACTACAAAAAATGGCAGTGTGAGCTTCCACCCTAAAGCAGACATTCTTTTAAGGCCTTGGTCTTGCAAATATTTAGCATATGAGTAGTCCCACCAAAGTAAGACTCATTCATAGGCTTTTTCACTGGTGGAGTTTTCTTTTATTTATATATATTTTAGCCAACATAGTATGAAAGTTGGAAGGGGGAAAATAAACTGGTAATATGAGATGAGCCAACCATCAGTGTACATGTACAGCTGCCAACAGCATCCCAACACAGAGAAACCTCAGTGAAGCCCATGGCTAAGCCAAGCCATAAGCTGGTGTCATAAAGAGAAATTGCTCAAGGTTTTTTTCCCTTAGTGGCAAAACCCAATACTCCCACGTGAACATCTTTCCTCTCTAGTGCAATACCCTGCAGATGTGGCTAAACCTAAAAATCATTGCTGAGAAAAGGTTCCAGCATTGAACACAATGTATGTGCTGCCTCTGTAACCCTTCCTTTGTTCCTTGTCAAACTATGATGTAAAGAACTGCTTAAGAAAACAAAACACAAAAGATAAAAATTAACTTAATTTACAAAACCAATAAAAAAGTTTAAAGCAATGATAGAAAAATAATATAAAGGCTAAATACATGAAATGCCAGTTCAACAGGATTAAGCTTTGGTAGAACAGCTAAAGAGCATAGCACCAATAAAATCCAATGTCAATACATGCTTCAGTACGCATGAGCTGTGATGAAAATGTAAATTTTGGCAAGAAAAGTGGTGTATGTTCCCTGACGCCACAGTTTCATTTCCACATCCAGCAAAAAGTCTTTAGGCTCTTTCACTTGTCGCTGAAGATAGACGATGCCCGTGTACGAGTTCAGCCTTCGAGTGCTGAAGTAGTTTTCTTCATTTCCCTTGATAATAGTAAGGATTATGTTGTCTCCAGCATAGGCAGGTGATGGTCCAATACGGAAAATGTGAGCTGGGACCACGATGTTGGTTTGGAAGTTCAGCTGGTAGTAGGTGATGCGCACTGGAGTGTTCTGGCAGTCCAGATAGTTGTAACAACTGATTCGTTCACACCTCCTGACAGATGAGAAATGAAGCACAGTCAGTGCCCATGGAAAAGCAGGAAAGAGTCTATATATTTAAGAATATAGCAAAATATTAGACAAAAAGGAGTCCCAGTCTTCAGCGTGTAATTACCAACTGCTTGTTCTGCTTTTACAATGCCCATAATGCATTTGTAAATGATATAACATTGTCAGAGTATGACATCAAAAGGAAAAGAAAGATCATGGTCATGGGGAGCTGTTTTGGGAAGCTCCACAATGAGGAAAGAATCACAGAATCCTAAACTGTTTTTTCTTGGAAAGGGCCTTAAAGTTCATCCCATCCCAACGCCCTGCCACAGGCAGGGACACCTTCCACTAGAGCAGGTTGCTCCAAGCCCCTGTGTCCAACCTGGCCTTGAACACTGCCAGGGATGGGGCAGCCACAGCTTCTCTGGGCACCCTGTGCCAGCACCTCAGCACCCTCACAGGGAAGAAAGATCCAGAGTCACAGTGCAAGCAGCACAGAGCTTGGAGTAGGAGTCTGTGATTCACCACCAAAAGCACAACCCCAGGACAGTGCCCCAAGAAATACAACCAAAAAAACCTTAAAAAGGTAGCTAAAACATGGGAATGGGAAAAAAGCTCCTCAACTGGCAAAGCTGCTGCACTCTTTAAGGCAGAAAAAGTATGTTTTAAGTCTAAAAATGTGGATTCCTAAAGCACTGGCAGCCACTAAGGCCGGAAACGGGTAGGGAGATTTTGGGGCTTCCAAGCCTTAACTGCTGAGGAGCTGGGAGCTGTGGGGTGTGCCATTCCCAGAACCCTGCAGCCTGGCCAGCTCCTGTTCCTGCTCCCCTTCACCGTTTCAACAATCTCCAAGGAACTGCAATCTGAATATGATAACAGGGAGCCCCAAACCCACTGTAAGTGGTGACTGAGCAGCCTGGCAGCCACTGCTGCTGGAAGCAGCATAGAGGATCTCATTTTTTGAAACTTAATCATAAACAGAGCCCTTCTAGAGCTGCAGCAAGGAGAGCTGCAAGCTCTGCTGGCTGCTGTTATAGCAGCAGTTGGAGGGCAAATGGGGGCTCTCAGGCTTGGAAGAAAGGAGAGGCAAAATGGCCAAAAACTCTATGTGGGAAAAGTCAATGTGCTCCAGGTACCAAAGCACCTCCTTAGAGCTCTGAGCACTTACACACCCCCTACAAACGAAAGCACAATGTAACACCCACAGGCACTGGGCTGGGCTGCTCGCTCTGTTCTTGCGATACTCACATGTCAGACACTTTTCTGTAGTTGGAAGGGCACTCGAAGGACAGGCAGCGGAAGCTGCCCTGGATGTTATAGCAAGTCTCTGCAGCTGAGCAGTTGTGGGTTCCTATTGCACATTCATCGATATCTAACAAGAAGAAACACAAGGAAAAGACAGGGTAAGTTCAAAAGTAAGAAGTAATCACAGTTTAGGGGCTGTAATGAGGTCATGAGGCTGTGTGCATGAGAAGCAAGAGGAGGCCGGGGCTCTGCAGGCTGAGGGCTTCTGTCCTCACCACTCAGTTGCTGTGTTACCGCCTCAGGCAGGACTGTGAGAGCTTAGAGGAGACCCGGTGTGTGACATACAGGCAGTGAGGGGTGCCAGGCTCACCCCAGAGCACAGGCACTCGTGCTGGCAGGTCCATCACGCTGCTTCCAACCTGCTAAAACCCATACATACTCAGTGAGAAAACATTCCTTCCTTGCCATGATCAGCTGATGGGAACTGCCAGTGCTGCTCAGCAGTGTGTCCAGTGGCCAAGGGAGCCCACCCTACGAGCAGCTTCTGAGCCTTCCCCTGCTGTGTGATGGTCCCTCCCCTGCTTGGCAGCCAGTGTGGCCAGTTGTGGCCACCCAGTGCGTGGCCAGGGCTGGCCTCCTACCAGAGGGCATGTTTGTCTCTGTGCCTGTGCTTCCCAAACACTGGCACACTCCTGTGGACCCGGCTATTCTCATCCTGACACAACACAGGGTTTAACTTTCTGTGGAGAATAAACCTGAGAAGGAGAAAAAGTCCTCAAAACCCAGGATCCAACAGGACCTTCTCACTGAGGTTTGAGAACTGAGGAAGCTGGGCTATGTCAGGAGAATTTATTTCTGCATGAAGGTTGCTCTGGATTAAAGCAGGGGACAAGTACAAAGCAAAGTAACCACTGCTGTACAGCTGCAGCACCCAGGAGGTACAGGCACCACCAGACCAATGTGAAATGTGGAAGCTTAAGAACACCACTTTGGAACAACGCACACCTTTCTGAACATGTAAGTTAATGCCATGGTTTAATCCTAGCTGGCAACTAAGTCCGACACGGCCGTTCCCTCACCGCCCCGCTGGGATGAGGGAGAGAACTGGAGAGGTAAAGGTGAGATAACCGGTGAGTTGAGGCAGTTCAACAGGTAAAGCAAAAGGTGCACATGCAACCAAAGCAAACCAAGGCGTTTGTTCCCTGCTTTCCATGGGCAGGCAGGTGATCAGGCGTCCCTGGGACAGCAGGGCTCCATCACACCTAATGGTATCTTGGGAAACAAATGCTATCACTCCAAATGTTCCTCCATTCCTATTTCTTCCCTCTACTTTATATACTGAGCATGATGCCACATGGTCTGAAACATCCCTTGGGTCAGTTGGGGTCAGCTATCCTGGCCAGGTCCCCCCAGCTCTCGCTGGTGGGGTGTGTGAGGAGCAGAAGAGCCCTTGCTGTGTGTAAGCACTGCTCAGCAATAGCGAAAACATCCCTGTGTGATCAACACTGCTTCCACCACCAAGCCAAAACACAGCCCCATACCAGCTACTATGAAGAAAATTAACTCTGCTCCAGCCAAAACCAGCACAGTTAAATATAAATATCTCCCCACAATGAGAAGTAATGTTGCAGAGACAAAAAAGAACATTTAAAGCTCAAAAACACTTTATGGTCTAGAGCATAAACATGGTTACCTAAATAAGGCCCAAGCCATGGACCTTAAAATGCTGAAAATCAGATGCAACAACAAGGATCCAGCCTGAGCAGAAAATACTGGCAAAGACCTCACAGTCACATTATGTACTCCCAAATGTCTAGACAACGCACGGAGGCTTTAAAATGAACTAAACGCTAACAGACAAACTATGTGGACTGTGCAGGGCTCTGCAGTTCTGCCAACTGTCACAGAGGAGACACACTCTTCAGAGGAAAACTATAACCTCCCATACCCTCCATTCCCCTGGGATGAGAGCTGATCTCAGACACTGAACTGACTGGTTTAAAAGTCTTGCAAAGAAAAGCATACAATAGGAAGGAGAGAATCAAAGCAAATGAAATCCTTGGCTGATCCTCAGACGTGCCCCTAGGTGAAAAGAAAATTTCTTCCACATTGCAATCACTGCTGTGAGACCCTCCCTTCACCAGCTCGGCTGCGCTGCAAAATACCACAGGCAGTTTCTCCACAGAGATCCTTATGTCGAGATGTTATTACATGAGCTACAAGTCATCTGTTTGGAATGAAAGGTACAAAGAATATACCACCAGTACCTTGTAAGAGCTGGTCAAATGATGAGCAATTGAAGCCCAGTCTTAGCTGGTGGAAAACAATATAATCTTGAGTTTAGTGCAGCTGACATTGGTTCAGGCTGTTTCTCTGACCACGGTTGCAGGGTCAGCATGTGAGCCCACCCAAAGCTGAAACTATGGACTTGCAGAGCTCAGAAAAAGGGCATGTATCTGTGATTACTCCCAGGGCCTGAGTAATGCCACACACAAAGCTGCAGCACTTGCACGGTTCTGCAATTTGACCACCTTTGCCCTCTAAGGAGGGTGCATGTACCCAGTGGCATAGGTGCCTCGAAAAGCTTCTCCAAACACTGCTGTTTGGCTGATCTGATCAAAAGGAATCCTCTCCACACAGGAAAAGTGAGCAGGGAGGATTTCACCCACACAAACAAGTGTGATCCATTGGTCTGTGTGGCAAACCCTCTTCCTGCACCTCCAGTGACTGGAGCATGCGGGGTGCCTCCAGCTTGGAAGGGCTGTGCTGGCCGATGAATGCAGTGACTCACACTGTTAACTCTGGAACCAGTCTTCAGCTCCAGTCCCAGGTCTGGCAGAGGTGGCAGGGAACGTGCCAGCAGCGCTCAGAGTTAGCAGAGGAAAGAAACCAAACAAACAAAGCTTGAGGAGAGGAACAGCTGCAGTTTCTGAAGGTGATTTTTACATAAGAATTTAACTGCATGTGGGTGTAACTGCATCCATACTTAAACACACCTTCAAAAAGAACTGAAAACGTTTCGTCGTTTAGTCTGTTCCCCTGCTCCGAAGTCAGGGCCAAGCACGCTCCTGCTGTTCATGATTTACACAGTGTAAATTTACTGCCCTTACCACCAAGAGAATTTAAGCCTAGGAGATACATAACCAAAAATTATGTGAAGGGTTCATCAAAACCTGAGAGCAGGAAATGCCTGGTAGT